GTTGGTGAGTTCCTTGGAGGCGAGGCCAGCCCATGTCTAACCTGCACTGGTAATTATAGGGCACTTGTAAAAAAGAATGAAGCCTGGAACGCAGCTGGCAAGCTAACACCGAATTCAGTAAATAATCCAGACTCAAACCATTATTTTCCTGAAAACTTGAAATTGTTCAAAGTACTTTCCTGATTAGCACCTAAATAATAAAGTAATTATGTAATTAGTAATTAATTTGTCACTTCAGGACATAATTTAATTTATTATCTTTCTTTTAAGCTTGATGCCAGAGGCAGTGGAGGCTGTGGCTGTATTCACTGTGTTTTCAGGGGCAGGCTTGGTGGTGGTGGGGGCGCGGTTGGGGGGGTTTTTTTATTTCGGGGCAGGAGGGGAGGCCTGGGAGTGAGGACAGGATCCCCTTGTTAGGGTTTGGATGATTTTTGCCATTACTGTTGGTGTAAGAGACACTGGATGAGAATTGCTTCCTTCGAGGATGTCTGTAGAGTGTGTTTGTGTGTGTGATGGAATGTGCTTCTCAATTCATTCAGTATTCACTCTCCCAGTGTCCCCGTGTGCCCACGCTGAGCTGAGGGCTTAGAAGGTTATGGGAGAAAATAGTCATGTTCATGCTCTTAAGGAGTTTTATGTGTTGTTTGTGTTGATCTGTAGGTGTGTGAATGTGTATGCACACTCATTCATTCATTCATTCATTCAACAGATGTTTGTGGAGTACTCTATTACATGCCAGGAACTATGCTGAAAGCTGGGCATATGGTGGGATTTGTGGAAAAGATCTCTGCTCTCTCAATGAGAGAGAAACCTCATCAATCAGCTGCCCCTACTGGGGACTGAGCCCGCAACCCAGGCATGTGCCTTGACTGGGAATTGAACTGGTGACTTCTTGGTTCATGGGTCGATGCTCAACCACTGAGCCACACTTGGCCAGGCAAGATCTCTGCTTTCTTTTTTAAAAAAAATGTTTTATGGATTTTTTACAGAGAGGAAGGGAGAGGGATAGAGAGTTAGAAACATCGATGAGAGAGAAACATCAATCAGCTGCCTCTTGCACACTCCCTAACTGGGTATGTGCCCGCAACCAAGGTACATGCCCTTGACCGAAATCGAACCTGGGACCCTTGAGTCCGCAGGCTGACGCTCTATCCACTGAGCCAAACCGGTTAGGGCAATCTCTGCTTTCTTAAGGAGAGGTAGTGATAAGTGCTTTAAGGAAAATGAAACAGGCTAAGGGGCAAGGAATGCTAGAAGTGCCATCTTAGATCGGCTGACCAGGCCAGGCCAGATGCATCTTAGCAAAGAACTGCATGAGCTAAAGGAGAGATGACTGTATGGAGCTCCAAGCAGCGAGGACAGCACATGCAAAGGCCCTGCAGTTGGTTGTTCTAGGCGCATTTGCGGTCGACAAAGAAGGCAATATGTTTAGAGCACAGAGAAGGGGGAAATATGATAGATGAGGTTGGCAGAGGGGCAGGGGGGCACCAAGGCTACAATGCCCTGAAATCATCTCATTGCTTCAGAGGCTCCTGAGGAGATGATAGTGATTGTGCATGTTTACATTTTACAAGATCCTTTTTTCCACACAGATTTATTTCTCACATCGATCCTGGAGGGCGGGGGCTTCAGGAAAAGCCCAGAGAGGCTGAGTCACTTGCCCAGGGTTACCCAGCAAGGGGCAGGCTGGTGCATGAACTTGGTCCTGAGCTTTGGATGCCTCGAGATGAGCTGAGCGTGGCATTGCGACCTGGCAGGGCTGGTGTTCAGAGAATGGATGGTCCCAGGCGGCAAGACTGACCATACTGCCTCTACAGGCAGCTCCGAGAAGTGCGGTCCAGGCTCTTAAAAGCTTTATCCAACACGATGGCATTTTAGTTAAAACTCCAACGCAGGTGGCCAGGGGGCGGTGTAGGGGGGCAGCCTTGCATAATCAGAGGAGCATTAGGAAGGCAGCAGCCTGGCTTTCACGGCCCCGATGGAGGCAGGCGGCGAGTGTCCGGGTGTCACGCCTGGCCGGGCTGGGGCCGAGGAAGCAGGGTGTCACGCGTGGTCATGAGGTGAAAGGGAGGGTGAGGGGACGTCTGTGGAGCTGGTGGCAGCAGCTGCGGGCTCTGTGGGAGCCTGGGGACAGCTGTCTTGTCTGTCACCGTCTTAGTGCTGAGCTCAGTGCTTCCCTGCAGATGCTCAGCAAACGTGGGTTTGTTGGGAATTTGCCAAATACAACGGAAAATGTGTAGAGTTTGGACACAGCCAGGCACGCTTTGAATTCCAGGTTTCCTCTCCCAGTGTAAGATTCATGGGCAGAGGATGTCTCCACCTTCCCTCCTCCCTCTGTACACCTTGAAGAAGGTCAGGCATGAGCCTACGAGGAATGGTTGCACGGGCGGTGCCTGGTGCGGGAATGATCACCGCTCCCAGTGTAAGATTCATGGGCAGAGGATGTCTCCACTTTCCCTCCTCCCTCCATACACCTTGAAGAAGGTCAGGCATGAGCCTACGAGGATGGTTACACGGGCGGTGCCTGGTGCGGGAATGATCACCAGGGCACGGTGCCTGGTGTGGGTGCGGTGGCTGATGGGGAGGGGGTGTAGGGGGTGTATGACATGCAGGGCAGCAGCCCTCGAATCACACCCTGAGCCTTTGCGGTCTCTTTGCAGCTCCCCCCACCTTTACAGAAACACCCCCCCAGTACATTGAGGCCAAGGAGGGGGGCAGTGTCACCATGACCTGCACAGCTTTTGGGAACCCCAAGCCGATTGTCACCTGGCTCAAGGAGGGGACACTCCTAGGTGCTAGTGGGAAATACCAGGTAGGTGTGCTGTTGGTGGGGCCACTGCCCCCCCGCCTCCCTTCGCCTCTTTCTCCCTCTCCAAGGCGGTCTCCCACTCCATGGGACCAGTGACGCTGTGCAAAGGCACAGAGGGAGATGGAAGCAGCAGGCACACTGGCTGGGGTGTGTCGTTGGAGGGAGATGAAAAACGAGGCCCCTCCTCCGTCTCCCCCAGTGCGTGAGCCCCGAGGCCCCCTCCGCCTGAGGGGGGCGTTGGGCGGGCTCCAGGTGGGTGCTGAGCTTCGTCTCTCCCTGGTCCCAGGTGAGTGATGGGAGCCTGACTGTGACGTCGGTCAGTCGGGAGGACAGAGGTGCCTACACCTGTCGCGCATACAGCATCCAGGGAGAGGCAGTCCACACCACCCACCTGCTTGTGCAAGGTAACGGGTCTCCCTGGCTGCTTTGTGCCTGGGGCCTTTCTCTGGGAGCCCCGCAGAGTGTGATTGGCACAGCTGGGGGCAGGGGGAACTGGGCAGCTGTGAGGAGCCGGGCAGGGCACCTCCCAAATACCACGACTTCACGCTGGAGCTCCCACGGTGGCCTGCTGTGGCTGTCACCTGGGGTGGCATGAGGCCCATGCTGGGTGGGTTTCTGTATCTGCCCAGGCAGGGTTTAAATAACTGAGGGCATTTGGCACTTGGTAGAGCTGGGGTCTGCACGGGCAGCACCTGGAAATGCTGGGCTGCCCTGCCCGGGGCCCAGAGGATTCAGAGGGGGGCATCTGGGTGGCCAGGTCTCTTGTCTGAGCTGAGCCCACCCACCTGCTCTGCCTCTGCCCGCTGCCGGTGGTTGGTGGTGGCTGTCTGGGCTGCCAGGACTGCTGGTCAGCTCTTCCTGCCTGTCTGCTGACTGGCGTGCTGAGTGGCATGGGGCTAGAGTTCCCTTTGCAGTTTGGAGGAGAAGTGGCCTCCTGCGGGAGAGTGCCGGCCAGGTCAGCTGCAGCCTGCCTGGAAAGCCAGCCCGGGAATGGGGATTCTTCCCTCTGTTTGCTCTGCCCCCCTCACCCCAAGTCCTCCCTCTGGGCGCCCTCTTACCCTCTGCTGGGTGAGCAGGGCATGCCTCTCGCTCCTCTGGGGCAGCATTGCTCCTTGCTCTGGACTGAGAGATCTCTGGGAGCCTCCCTCAGGGCTCTTGGAGAGAAGATGGGCAGGAAGGACGTGTGTGTGTGTGTGTGTGTGTGTGTGTGTGTGTGTGTGTGTACGTGTGCACATGTGTGTGTGGTGTTAAATGGCTAGCATTTGTAGAGGGGTTATGCATGGGGGCAGGGGGCAGGTAGGTGCCAGGCGTCTCCGCTGGCTCAAGGGGGTGGGGCACACTGTGGCCACATCCAGCACCACCTGCATCTCTGGGACCTGTAGGCAGAGTAAGGACCTGTGAGCACTGACAGCAGCGAGAAGTGTCTCCATGACAACGGCCTGGGGCTGTGCTGCCCCCAGCCTCCCTCTCGGTTCCAAGCACCCTTCCCAGAGGCCCTGGTGCTCCCTCCTCCCTGGCCCCGCCCGGTGAGGTCATGCTTGTTTCCTGTGTCCCCAGGGCCTCCCTTCATAGTGTCCCCTCCTGAGAACATCACTGTCAACATATCCCAGGATGCTCTGCTTACCTGCCGGGCGGAGGCGTATCCCGGCAACCTCACTTACACCTGGTACTGGCAGGACGAGAATGTCTACTTTCAGAAGTGAGCACCCTGCCCAGACCTCCTGGGGGCGGAGCGGCCAGGGGCCCCAGGGCCAGGCGTCCGAGCAGGGCCTGCTGCAAGCTGCCCTGCGGCTCCGGGAACTTAGAGGGGGTGGTCCGTGCACAGGTCCCGCCTGTGAGGGCCGTGTCTACACCGAGGGGCCCTGGGATGCGAGGGCGCACTGGGCTCTTCCTCGTGCGTGGGGGTGAGGGGATGCGTCCCTCCCATGGTGTTCATGGAAGATCCTTGTCTCCCCCCCCCTTCCCTGTGTCGCCTCGTCTCCTCTACAGTGACCTGAAGCTGAGAGTGCGGATCCTGATCGACGGCACCCTGATCATCTTCCGGGTGAAGCCCGAGGATGCAGGGAAGTACACCTGCGTCCCTAGCAACAGCCTGGGGCGCTCCCCCTCGGCCTCCGCCTACCTGACTGTGCAGTGTGAGTAGGGGCAGGGCGGGCCTCAGCTGGTGGGGGTTCGGGAAGGTTCGGGCCACCTTAGCCAGACGGGAGGCTGGAGGGCAGCCTCGGGTCAGGGGATGTGGGAGGAGGAATGACGGAGACAGGAAGCCAGGACAGCCCAGGAAGAGGCCCGCACCTGGGACGGTCATTTGAGGTGAAACCAGCCTCGTGGTGTCTTCTGGGGGCCACGTGCTGGCTGCCTCACGTCGGCTGAGCCAGCCTCAGGTCAGGGGTCGGCAGACCTTCTGGACAATCGCGCTTGCACTGGATGCCAGCCAGCACCTGTCTCCACCTGGGGTGGGACACTTGGTGGTGTTTTTTCTCCGGTGTCTGAGGAGGTGTAGCTTGAACCCATGTGGGGTTAGATGTCCAGCCGCCTGGACGGTGTGAGGGGCCGGGGACAGGCCCTTCTTCCGGTCCAGCTCCCCCAGCACCTGGCTCCCTCGCTTCCTCGTGCCCCTTCTCCGGGGCTGCCGAGCTCCCAAGGAATGAGCTGCTCTCGTGCCAGAACGATGGGGGGCTTTTGTCTGAGCACAAGAATTCGGTTTCCTGATCTTGAAGACTTCAGCAGAGTCACTGCTCCCCACCCCCTGCGAGCCAGCCATTGTGAGAGGGAGCAGGATGAGCCATGAGGATTCATCTCTTCCTTTTGATTTGCTGATGGTCCTGTCACTCAGGCAACAAAGGCCCCGTTGCTGCTGTAGGTGACAGGCTCTCCATCACTTGAAGGCAGGAGAACTGCTCACCCTGAAGGCCAAGGTGGGGAGTGGCAGGGTGAGGAGGTAACCATCTGGAGACCTGGAGTCCGCACTTGAACTGGGGACAAGTAGAACAGCGGGTGACCCCAGGAGGTGGCTCACCTCTGACCCAGCCTCGCAGAGCTGGGCGCTCGCCTGTCTGCATTGCATGCGTGTGGAGGTGGAGCCAGTGGGACCCGGAGCCTGCTAGAGCTCCCATGCTCCCGTGCCTACTGCTTTCGTCCCTGTGCAATGATTTTGCTGCTTGCGGCCCAGGCATCACCTCTCCACTTTGCTGGCCGCTGACCCCGAGGACTGTCGGCGTGCTGTGTCAGGAGGCCCACGTTGCTAAGTGCTGTGAGGCCCAGGCCATCAAATCTGTCCCACCCAGACCTACAAGTGAGAAAAACCCAGGCAAGAAGCTATTATAAGCGACTTACCGTGTGCCTCGCACTGTGCCGGATGCGCAGGAACCAAGGGGAGGGGGACGCCTCTTGGAGCAGGATCCCGGCTGGCTGATGTCATCTGTGCGGGAAGGTGGCAGCGGGGGAGTCTCAGAGGGGCGATGGCTCTCTCCAGGACTGAGGCCGGTCCTCGGAGCCATGGGTGCTTCCGTCTCCCTCTCCCACTTGTCCCTTTTTACCTCCTTCCTGCCTTCAAAGAGAACCCGGGGGGGGGGGGGGGGGGGGGTGAGATTTTTCAGGTGGGTGAGACAAGGATCTTTATTTCTGCTAAAAAGCAGTGTTCAGAGTATTTCCCATTCATAAACGCTTTGAAAACCTTGGAGGAAAAGGAAAAAAAAAAAAACACCCTCTACCATACAAAAGTAGGAGGCTCTGTCTAAATATATACCTCGGCCTGGTATTTATGTAATGCTGTTCTCTGAAGAGCTCCAAGTGCTTGAAAGATCCCAGCTCATTCATCCTCTCCGCCTCCCTGGAAGTTCCGCGTCTTTCCCCTCGGTAGCCCTCAGGGAAGTCGGGGGGGGGGGGAATCGGAAGGTGATGGATATGACTCACCCACATGGCAGGATGCGCGGCTCTCGCTGCTGCCCCAGGAGCCTGTCGTCGGCTCTGTGGCCTGGGCTGAGGGTGCCCTCCAGCTGCACAGAAGGGAAACTGAGGCCTGAGACGGCAGCCAGCAGGACGGACAGAGAGGAACCACCTGTGGTTCTGCCTCGCCCGCCTTGTGCATAGACGGCCGTTCATTCCTCTTTGGGCTTAGGGTGTGGAGCGAGGAACCGGCTGGGTGATAGGACTTGGGGTCAGCAGGTGGGGGAGGGGGTGGTCAGGGTTGACTTTGAGCGTAGGAGTCGAGGGAGGGGCTGGGGAAATGGACAGGAGAGCCCCGCCCATCCGACAGCAGTGTTCACATCTGGTCTGGGGCAGGCAGCTCGTGCCTCAGTGCCTCTGGGCATTCAGAACAGAAGTGCTGGGCATCCTGGAGGCTGGGCAGACAGAAGCCTGCAGCCTGCACTGGTGGCTCAGCGTGGCCTCGGGGCCATCAGCCCAGGAGGCCGGGGTTTGGGGGCCACGGTGGGCCCAGCACTCAGCTCCGTGTTGAGCACTGAGGACACTGTGGGGAGGGTGTGAGGGGCTGTACTTTGGGGGGTGCCTGTGTGGTGGCTGGGCCCCCGCCTGGAGTTCTCTCTTCTTGACTTCCCTCGTGTCTTTCTTCTCTCCCACCCGACACTACCCTCTCCAGACCCAGCCCGTGTCCTCAACATGCCCCCCGTGATCTACGTGCCCGTGGGAATTCACGGCTACATCCGCTGCCCCGTGGACGCAGAGCCGCCGGCCACCGTGGTCAAGTGGAACAAGGACGGCCGCCCCCTGCAGGTCGAGAAGGTGCTAGAGAGACGCATGTGGGGTACCCATGAGAGGCACCCTCCCCGACACTAAGGGGCTGCCTCTGGGGGTCTGGATCCTGCCAGGAGCCTTCCCCTGAAGCTCTGGCAAGCTTAGAGCTGCTGCCCATGGGGGTCCGCAGCTGGCAGGGCACCGAGACACCCCTTCCCAGGGCAGCTGGTCTCTGCCCGGCCTGCCCCCAGTGGGGCTAGTGGAGCCGCCCTGCCCGGGTCTGGGCCTGTTGGGGCCGGGACTGGTGTGCACCCCTGACCGTGGCCCCAGCTCTGCTCCTTCCGGCAGAATCTCGGTTGGACCCTGATGGAGGACGGCTCCATCCGCATTGAGGAGGCCACAGAAGAGGCCCTGGGCACGTACACCTGTGTGCCTTACAACACCTTGGGGACCATGGGCCAGTCTGCTCCCGCGCGGCTCGTCCTGAAGGTGAGGCCCGGGGCTGCAGGGGCCTCCGAGCGGTGGTGCCCATCGTGCCCCCTGTGCCCACCTCCACGCCCACTGTGCTCCCTCCAGGACCCCCCGTACTTCACGGTGCTACCAGGCTGGGAGTACAGGCAGGAGGCCGGCCGGGAGCTCCTGATCCCCTGTGCTGCTGCCGGGGACCCCTTCCCTGTCATCACCTGGAGAAAGGTACCTCTGGGTCCCGGAGCTCCCGGGAAGCGTGCTGGAGGGAGGGTGTCTGTTCTGGGGGGGCCACGTGCTGAGGGGTCAGGGGACTTCTCGGGGGCGCCCTGGCAGGGGGTGTGGAGGGTGGTAGCATTATCCTCCGGCTCCTCCGACCCTGAGGTGTTGGTGGCTTCT